CTGGGATTTTCATTTCAGCTACTGTATTCCCAGTAATCAGTCTGATTTTGGCCCTTTACTACACTACATTTAGGCCCTTTTAATTCTCAGTCATTGGTTTTACTGCTTCCTGCCCTGAAATCCTCTATCTAGATCTTTGTGCCTTTGGCTTCTGTTCATTATTTGGCATTTTTCTCTCTGGTCCTTGAATATTTTGTGGTGGTGGTGTTTTGTTTTAGCACTTCTAAATGTTCTTTTTAGGGGTGCCTGGGTAACTCGGTTAAGCGTCTGACTTTTGATTTTAGCTCAGGTCATTATCTCAGGGTCATGAGATCAAGGGCTGCATTGAGCTTTTTTTGCTGGGCATGGAGCAGGCTTAGGAGTCTCTCTCCCTCCCCCTTTGTCCCTCCCCCAGCTCGTGTTCTCTCTCTCTCACTCTCAAAAAAAAAACCAAAACAAAACTTTTAAATGTTATCCTATTTTTTTTTGTGCATTTGGAAGTGATGAAAGGGACAAATAGTGTTAATTTTTTTCATTGGTTTGGAGTTTTGGTAGTTTTGAGTTCTTTTTAAAATATCTTTATCTCCGCTTAGTATCACTTTCTAAGAAGAGAGTCAGAGTTGAAATCACAGATGTGAAGAAAAAAAATCTTACTACCTAAAGTTTATATAAAACTACATTACAGGGAAGGTCATAGACATAGGCTTTCAATTAAGCCCTGAGCTAACCTAGCCATTGGATCTAAGTGTTTTTCATGTACTTAAAATATTGGTAGCTTAAAAAAAATTTATAATTTGTTTCTTAATAAGTGATATTAAATAGAATACATTTCAGATGTGAAAATTTATAAATATAAAAACCTCAAGTATAAATGTAAATTTATAAGTATATATTACTTCCTACATTTTCTTCAAATATAAATTATTAGCAGATTAAAGTATATAGTATCATTTAAAAATAGTGTATAAAAGTAAAACTAAATGCACAAATGAGATAGTATTTGATCTTTAAAAAATGAAAAAAAATGGCTTAAAAAAACCAAAATGGAATTTTTAATGGGTTGAATACTTGCTCTAACTGTTGGGACTGCTGAAAAATCTCTCTGACTTTTGAGATTTTCTTCTTGACTATTTAATCTTCACATAATCCCACATTTTGTGATAACTTGTGGGGAGGATGTGGGTTCAGCAAGGATTCAATCCTTTTACTGATATGAAGCTGTAGTCCTTTTTTTCCAAAGAATTTTTTTTCTTCATTGTATGTAGATGGAGATGTTAATGTAGTTAACTTTTATTGTATCTGTATGAAGTGTTCATATTCCATTTGTTTGAAAAGTCTCTGAACTAGAAGAAGGTATTTATTCTTGTAATAGATGCTTTTGCCTTGTCAATTGAAATTTTTTTCTTCTTGTGGAGGTTAATGGAGGTACAGAAGAAGGCTTTCCAAATAAATGTACCTTTCTTTGATTTAAAGTCATTAATTATGGATATATCTAACAATATAAGTGAATCAGATTTTATATTTTAATTAAAGTAGCAAAATCATATAAAAAAGATATAGCAATAATTTGATACTTAAAAATAGCCTACTATGCTAAAATGCTGGAATCCTTGAAAAATAAGTTCAGCTGTTCTGGAGAGGGGAATTTGGATGTGTGTGGGATCTCAAAGTGTGAATTTAAAAATTTCAACTTAACTGGAAGTTGGATATTTACTATTTTTTTAGTGTTTTTTTTCTTTCACTTTGAGAGAATCGAGATTATGTCTGCATTAAAGATACCAGTAGGAAAAAAAAAAAAAAAAGATACCAGTAGGCTCTACAGACTTTTAATTGTGATAAAAAGTATTTGTAGTTTACACTTAACACCTTTCCCCTTTCTAATTAATAAAGAATATTTTCATAAAATGTCAAAATTCTTGAAAAATAAAAATATGAAATATAACTGAATGGTAAACATAGTGTGTGCAATTTCTTTATAATTGGAAATTAAAAACCTCAGATTGCCTCTCTGATTTTCCCCCTACTTGGATACTTTTCCTTTTAGGGAAAAGGCCTCTTTATTTGCTGTTTTATTTTTTGCAATCCTCCAGCTCTTCCAGGCTTCCATTGGTGTTAGTCTCGTTGTTGAGACGAGGCAGATGAGTTAAGTTTATTGGACCTTTAAGTTTTAGGTAGTATTTGCTCTGTCATTTCCTAGTAGCATGACCTTGGACAAGTCAAAGTCACTTAATCTCTCTAAGCCTGAGTTTATTTTTAAAATGAAGAATATTTCTTCATGCCCTCTTTCTTCAGAGTTACTTGGGGATGAAACAGTATATGCAGTAGTGTTTAGTAATACTGTTACCTTCACAAGCATGTCCATTGAGTAAAGACTTTGTTTCTTACTGTTTTTCTTTTTTTTATCCCCAACAAGTTATTTGTATATACTTTTTCTTATTTTGATCATAAATTTACTGTATGCTTGTTTTAGAAAGTATGGAAAATAAAACTTAAAAAAATAGAAATCTGAACAATGTATTATCCCATTTTTATGTTTTTTGGGGAAATTTATTTTTGAGACTAAGTTTTCCCTTAGGGCAAGGAAAGTTAGTGTCATACCTATTTTTGGATTTTTTCTTTTCTTTGTATGTATTAGGAAAAAATTAATGCTTATTAAGTGAATGGAAATTTCCTTAGTTTGGGTATATTTTTTTTTATGATGTAAATTTTAGGTTGTACAAGCTTTATAATTTGACATGTGTATACATTCCAAAGTGATCATCACCACAAGTCTAGTTACTATCCATCACCATAGAGCTGACCGCCTTTACCTATTTTACTTACCCCCCAATCCCCTTCCCTTCTGGTAACCACCAGTCTGCTGTCTGCCTGTGAGTTTGTTTTTCTATTTTGTTCATTTCTTCATTTTTTTTATTCCATATAATAAGTGTAATCCTAGGGTATTTGTCTTTCTCTGACTTATTTCACTTAGCATAATATTCTTAAAGTCCATCCATGTCATTGCATATGACAAAATTTCATTCATTTTTATGACTGAGTAGTATTTCATTGTATATATACTATCCTCTTTATCTATTCACCTATTGATGGGCACTTAGGTTGTTTCCAAACCTTGGCTGTTGTAAATAATGCTGCAATTAGCTTACGGGTGCATATATCTTTTCAAATTGGTGTTTTCATATTATTGAGATCATTACTCAGAAGTATCACATTGTAGTTCTATTCTTAATTTTTTAAGGAATCTCCATATTGTTTTCCATAGTGGCTGCACCAATTTACAGTCCCATTAACAGTGTGACAGGGTTCCTTTTTCTCTACATCCTCTTTGACATTTGATATTTCTTGTCTTTGATAATAGCTATTCTAATAGGTGTTAGGTGATGTCTCATTGTGGTTTTGATTTGCATTTTCCTAATTATTAGTGATGTTGAGCATCTTTTTATGTACCTGTTGGCCATCTGTATGTCTTCTTTTGAGAAATGTCTCTTCAGATCCTCTGCTCATTTGTAAATAGTTTTGGGTTTTTTTGTTTTTGTATGATTTCTTTATATATTTTGGATATTAATTCCTTATTAGATATGTGGTTTGCGAATATCTTCTCCCATTCTGTAGGTTTTCTTTTCTGTGTATAAGCTCTTTGGTTTGATGTAATCCCATTTGTTTATTTTTTCTTTCCCTTGCCTTTGAAGTCCGATACATAAAGATATCACTAAGATCTATGTTAAATTTACCACTTATGTTTTCTTCTAGGGATTTTATGGTGTCAGGTCTTACATTCAACCCTTTAATCCATTTTGAGGTAATTTTTGTGTATGGTATAAGATAGTTGTGTAGTTTAATTTGCCTGTAGCTACCCAGTTTTTTCGACACCATTTATTGAAGAGATTGTCCTTTCTCCATTATATGTTCTTCCATCTTTTTCAGCGACTAATTGTCCATATAGTTAGTGTTAGTTTATTTCTGGGCTTTCATTTCTGCTCTGTGTGTCTGTTTCTGTACCAATACCATACTGTTTTGATTACTATAGTTTTGTAGTATAGTTTGAAATCTGGGAGCATGATATCTCCAGCTTTGTTTTTCTTTCTCAAGATTGTTTTGGTTATTTGGTACCTTTTGTGGTTCTATACAAATTTTACTATTATTTGTTATAGTTCTATGAAGTATGCCATTGGAATTTTGATGGGTATTGCTTTGAATCTGCAGATTGCTTGGGTAGTATGGACATTTTAGCAGTATTAACTTCTAATCCATAAGTAGGGAATATCTTTCCATTTATTTGCGTCTTCAATTTTTTTTTTCATGAGTGTCTATAGTTTCCAGTATGCAGGTCATGCAGGTCTTTCACCTTGGTTAAATTTATTCCTAGGTATTTTATTCTTTTTCATTCAGTTGTAAATGGGATTATTTTCTTAATTTCTTTAGACTGTGTTTCTTAAAGTCCAAAGCTTGGCGAAATTTGGACATTTGAAGAGAGAAAGGAAGATGTCTGACTAGCAAAAAATAATACTGAATGTGTATTTTCTTTTTAAGTAATTTCTATACCCAGTGTGGGAACTCAAACCCATATCCCTGAGATGAAGAGTCACATACTCAGCCAGACACCCCATGGGATGCATATTTTAAAATGACATTTTTCCAGGGGTGTGTGAGTGGCTCAGTCAGTTAAGCATTCGATTCTTGATTTTGGCTCAGGTCATGATCTCAGGTTGTGAGATGGAGTGCAGCCTCGGGCTCCGTGCTGGGTGTGAAGCTTGCTTAAGATTCTCTCACCTAATCACCAAATATGTACATACATAAATGACATTTTTCTATTGGCTAAAATAACAAAGGAAAACATAATAGGATCATTCATATATTTTCTGGCAGGAGGGAACAAGTTAGGGCTGTTGGATATGGAGCCACTGGGCAATTTCATATCAAAGTGGATTGATATTAGCAAGAACAACATATAATAAAATTTAAAGACTTTTTTGAATATTTGGAAGTTGTAACAACTTTCTTTTTCCTTTTTTGTTAAACAGGATGGCTTAAATTCCTTGGTCCTTGATTTGGATTTTCCTGCTTTGAGGAAAAACAAGAATATAGATAATTTTTTAAATAGATGTGAGTAAACTTTATATTTGATCCTATCACTATACTTTTGATAAGATTAATATTAGAGTCTATAAATTATTAACCTTAAGTATTTTTTAGTTTGCTATTTGATTTGTTTAAAGACTAGCATTCTTTATTTTCAAAGCAAAACTGCAGAACTTAGTTGCAGTTTGTAAAGTAGGTAAAGTTCAAGATTTTGTATGAATTATTAAGACTGATTTCAGGGTAGGTTATTTATGGCAGTTCAAAGAGAACTTTTAAAATAATGTTAACACTGTTAAGACTCAGGCTTACATTACCTAGGAGACTTAATGAGCTTTATGTTTGTGTAAATCTAGACATGTCAATCTAGCTAATGAAAGATAATGTGATGACCATTATTGTCATATATGCAATAACAATATTTGCCAGTATTGATGTTGCATTGAAGATGTAAATGAAGTTGAATTCTAAGAATAAATTCTCAAAATAATTTAATATGTAATTTATATCAACACAGTAAACCTTTTAAGTTGGAATTGTCAGAGACTGGGCTATTTTCATAATTAAACAATTTTTTAAAATAATTAAACAATTTTGTCTGTAGTTACCATATCTACAATATGTGATTACTATGCAAGGAAGTAGGCAATTAAAAATTTATTATTAAAATTAGCCTTGCAAGTAATTTCACAGCAGCTCTCTGCCATGATTTAGAATATACTCTAAGACTGCACAGGTCATCACTGTTTACCTGTTATCCTGCCAAGCAACAGAGTCAGAAATGGAGTAGCTTACATGCTGCTTTTTGGTAGTCAGTATTTTTTGTTTTATATGTGTTAAAAAACCATAGAGTTTTGGTTCTTTGATGTAGAGTTATTATGTATGTTAGATTTTTAAACAACCTTTGAAAACTGACAGATTTAGCTAAAAACTAAACTTAGTTTCTTTAAGAATCTGTTTACAAATATAGTGATTATTTAAAAATATTGCTTATAAATACGATCTTTTTTTATTGCAGATGAGAAAATTGTGAAAAAAATCAGAGGTCTACAGATGAAGGCAGAAGACTATGATGTTGTAAAAGTTATTGGAAGAGGTGCTTTTGGTGAGGTGCAGCTGGTAAGAAAGTATTGTTTTGTTCTGTTTTTTTTTTTGAATACAGGGTTTTGTGAAATATTATCAGAAGCCTCTGGGTAGATCTTATTTTTCTGCTCAGCCATCCCAGAATTAGTTTTGTCTTGGTCAAGTCATTCCATCTTAGAGAAGCTGAGTGTCTTTATTTTTGAAAGGAGGTACTTGCAAGCTATAAACACTGTATCTCTTCCAACTCTGAAACACTGAGGTTTAGAATATATTAGGCCAACTTGGTTTCACACATGACCTGCTTAGCAGTTAATATTCCACAAGACCTATTGTGTTTTTATTTAATGTGTTAAGATCAATAACATTTCTGCTTAATTAACTGAGACTAATTTAGATATATTAGAAACCTAACAAAGACATTTTAATATGAAATTTATCTTTGCAGGAAAAAGTGGTACCAACTGGAAATATAAATATTTCACTTATATATTAATGAGGAACTCCATCACTTGAGTATGAAACTCCGCTGCTTTTGTTTTTACAAATTATTTTATTTGGTTAAATAATGGGTTTAGATTCTGCTTTTTTTTTCTTTAAAGATTTTATTTATTTATTCATGAGAGACACAGAGAAAAAGAGGGGCAGAGACACAGGCAGAGGGAGAAGCAGGCTCCAAGCAGGGAGCCCAATGTGGGACTCAATCCCAGGACTTCAGGATCATGCCCCGGGCCGAAGGCAGGCACTAAACCACTGATCCATCCAGGGATCCCAAGATTCTGCTTTTCACTCTTTGGTGTTCTACTCTTTTTGATGGAGCTTGAGAAAAGCAGTGCTCACTGTTGTCAGCATGGCTTCTCTGGGAACAAGTCATGACAGACTAACTTGTTTTTGTCTTCTCTTTCATTTCTTTTTTCTTTGATAGGTTTATTGAACTTGTAGATCAGGGTAGTGTAATAGGTGTGATATATATCAATCAGATATTTGAAAAAGTCTGATGTACTTGAAGAGAACTTGGAAAAACGTCAGTGAATAAGGATATGGGTAGGTGGCTTTATAACTAATTTAATAGCTGTATTCTAAGGAGGCTGATGAAGGCATAAATGGTACCTTGGACAGAGGTCCGCAGGGACAGGTTTTAGTGTTCTGTCTTCTCCTAGTCAGCATCTTTAATGAGGCATTTATTGTATGGAGGCAATGGTGACATGCTGAATAATTTTGCAAATGAGTTAAAACTGAAGTATGAGGATGATTTCAGATTAAAAAAAAAATGATTTCAGATAATAAGCCGAAATCCAGAAATCATCAATTGAGAAGGTCATTGGGCCAGATAGAAGAAGTGAAATTTAACCAGAATAAAGACCTGTACTTAGCTGTGTAGAACTCAAGAAATCGATTCCTTAACAGTAATTATTGTATTTATTACAATTAAAGAACAATTTTCTTTGAATGTAAACCAAGCAAGACTCATTGGTGATTTGGCTGTCCAAAACAGTAAAAAAGGTTTGGATTGCTTTGATAAAGATTTTTTTGATTTTGAGATGACTGGGCCATACTGCATCTTTTTTTTTTTTTTAAGTTTTATTTATTTATTCATGAGAGACAGAGAGAGAGAGAGTGGCAGGTTCCCCATGGGGAGCTTGATGCAGGACTCTCCTGAAACTCTAGGATCATGACCTGAGCCAAAGGTAGACACTCAACCACTGAGCCACCCAGGTGCCTCTTTACTACATTTTATTCATTCTGGATGCTCTATTTTGAAGGGCAGATTGATAGAAGGTACTTGAGGGATGAAATGCTCAGGGACTTGAAACTGTGCCATCTGAGGTGTGGCAGAAGGAACTGAGAAGTTAATATGCAATAGATATGAGGAGTGGGCTACTTTTGATTTTGTTTGTTTGTTTTGTTTTGTTTTGAGTCAGTGACACTGGTGAAGCTTTGGCTAGTAGACTACCCATGGGAAGAGAGTCAGAGATTAGATTTTGTGACTGTTGAGTTGTGGAAAGCCCTGTAAGATAGGGAAAATAAAAAATGGTTGAATCCTACATCTGCCATAGTCTAATTCAAAGATCATGGTGAGTATAGACAAGATTCTCAATATCCCTGAGTTACAAACTATAGAATACAGATGATAATATCTATGTAATGGGATTCTTGTAGGGGGTTAAGTGAATTAAATAAATCTAGGTGTAGTGTTCCCTATTTGTTAACTATTGTTACTATTGCCTATTTGATACATAGATTCATACAACAATACATTGTTTTTTCATACTCAGGATGTAGTGTAGATAAAGATACTCAAATTTGGAGTTATGTTTTTTTTTTTTTTTAAGATTTTATTTATTTATTCATGACAGAGAGAGAGAGAGGCAGAGACACAGGCAGAGAGAGAAGCAGGCTCTATGCAGGGAGCCTGATGTGGAACTTGATCCTGGGTCTCCAGGATCACACCCCATGCTGAAGGCGGTGCCAAACCGCTGAGCCACCGGGGCTGCCCCTGGAGTTCTGTTTTTGGTAGGAAATATGACAGATCTTAGCTTGTCATGTTTTTATGGCAGAGTCATTGTTCTGTGTTAGGTGAATTTGATCATTCAACTTCAGTAAATTCAAGAAAAGAAAAGGCTTTTATTTTTGTTGTTAATTTTCCATCCCAAATTTTGTTTTGTCCACAAAACATGCAGAAACAAAGTCACATGTTTTTAAAAATGAAAAATATTTTAACATTCCATTAATCTGATGACCTGACCCAAGAACTTGGAACATGTTTGTTTTGGCTTTAGCTCTCGGTTCTGTTACCTTTGGCGGAGACTTTGTAAAAGGATGAGACTGAAAAGCAAAAGTCCAAGTTCTTCTTCCATAGTCTTTTATTAAAGTTGCTTTGTATGTTGTAGATAAATGAGTTTGACAGTTATGAGGGCAGTGTTCTACATTTGGCATATCTTTATGATTATGTTTTTCTAGTCATCTGAAGAAAATTTTACAATAGTAGATGCAAATTTGTCTTTCCTTGTGAAATACTTTTTGGGCCAAGTTAAAAACACATTACCACAGAAGGCCCGGCCCGCCAGTCAGTTTCAAAAAGAAAATTCTTGTTGTAAATAACTTTGGTATGTCACAGTAGCCATACCATACTATTTAAGAGTTAAGAGTCCGAGTACTTACGGTTGAATTCTAACTCTGACTAGCTGTCAGTGCAGACAAGTTACTTAATCACTCTATGCCTCAGTTTCTTATCTGTTAAATGATAATGATGATAACACTTATACCCCATTGGGTTACTGGGATAATTAAATGTATTTAAATTTGGAACAGTTCTTGGAATATAATAAGGGCTTAGTAGATGGTAACAGTTATCCATCCATCAGTGAATATTTAATCAGGATCTGTTATGTTTCAGAAGCTGTGCTAGCCTCTAAAGATGCAAGAGCATAGTTTTGATCTCTCTGCAAGAGGTAGCTTTGTGGAGGAGAAAATAATTTTACTTTAAAGTGCAATATTTTCAAATTATGATAAATACAATGATGGAAAGATCTGGATACTATGAGAAGGAAAATGGAGGGATGTGCTTAATTCAGGTGTGTGTATCTCTCTGTGAGAAGATGACAGTGGAGTTATATAGAGGACAAACAAGGTAGCCACATGAAGAGGGGTAGGGCAAGAGTAAAAAACTGAGGGAATAGCATGTGATGTCATGAGTCAGGAAAGTGTCAAATCATTTAGTTTATTCGAACAGATTTCCTCACCTGAAAAAGGCTTTTTCTTACACATTGTAAAGTTTTATAATTCTATGGGCAAAATTTGTTTAGCTTATTGTCTTTTTTCCTCTCTCTACAGAGGTGATGTATATGTATGTTTTTATATCACGCATGAAAAGTCTGTGATGTAGATGATTTGATACCCACTATTGTTTTTGGATTCTACTCTTTTTGGATTATTTATCACATCTCATTTTTATGGAAAATAATATTGTTCAGTACAGTATATTAAGAGCAGTACTTTGGAAGAATAGTCAAAGTTAACTACTTTTGTTTCCATTCTATAGTATGTAGATTTCCTATCATCAAAGCTTTAATTTCCTTATCTTATAGTAGCACTAATAATAGAACTTAAGATTTTTGTGAGAATTAAATTAAGCTATGGATGTGTGATACTGGGACCTGGCACATTGTAAGTATTAAGTAAATATTATCTGTTGTCACTTTTGTCAGTTTCTATGCATTTATGAATTTAATATGTTTTAATTTTAAATAATCATAAGTCTTGCTCTAATTTTTATATGTATTTGTATGTGTTGGTTCACTAGAGCTTCCATAACAAGATACCACCAACTGTGGCTTAACGAACAGAAATTTATTTTCTCAGTTCTGGAGGCTACAAGCTTGACATCAAGGTGTTGGCGGGTTTGGTTTCTCCTGAGACCTCTCTCTTTGGCTTGTGGAAAGCCACCTTCTGTTGTGTTCTTTCTTTGTGCTTACATGTGCCTGATGTGTCGCTCTGTGTCCCAATAGCCTGTTATTAGAGGGACACCAGTCAGATTGGATTAGGACCCACCCTAATAACCTCATGTTAATTTAATCACCTCTTTAATGTCCCAGTCTCCAGATACAGTCACATTCTGAGGTACTGGAGGTTAGGGTTTTAAAATATAGTGGGGTTGGGGTTGGACATAGCACACGTTCATTCCATAATTGTGTATATATGTTGGGATGAACTTTTTTAGTGAGGTTACTTTTTGAATAGATATGCGTGCTTACTTTGTTTATGGTTATTCACTTACCTTGGACATAAATAATCCTCTTTGAAAAGAAAGTTACAAATTCTAGCTTTACAAATGTCTTCTTAAGGTAGCTATTTAGTCTTCATATCTGTTAATAGAATATATATTGTTCTTTAATATTCCCTTGGTTAATTTTTTTTTTTTTTTTTTTTTTTTTTTTTTTTTTTTTTGGTGTGTGTGTGACTCTGGAGGTTTGCCCACCTGGTTTTACTTCATTCTAGGCAAAACCACACCACACAAACCCTTGGGGCTACTCCGACCA